AGGATTAGAGATTGACTTCTTTTATTCGACAACTTGAATGACGAGCTTAACTTTTCGCCAGAATAAAACGAGGTCAGAAGAATTCGGAAGTCGTTCACCATCATACGGAAAAATTCTCGAATCGAAAGTAGATTTTCGTCGTACGATAGAAGTCGGCTTCACGGTTTACTATCCTGTTGAATCGTTTCATTGACCAAATTTAACGCTAATACTGTCCAAATACGGGAGCCGCTTTTGTTGGAGGATCCATGAAAAGGTAGGCCAGACCTGAAAAATCATACAGGAGACAGCTGCTGGCTCGGCATCGTAAGGGCCCGCCCGACAAATGGGCTTAAGTCACTCTCCGTCGTCTTTTCTCGGTCTATCAGTCATCGTGGAAGAAGAGAATGCATTCGAGCGTTATATAGGTCCATTCAGAGGATATAGTGTAAGAAACTTGGTTCGTTCCTGATATACGTTCATACATGCATATGTACATACATACTTACATACACGTTCGACTCCAATTCCGCTTTTAACTTAACTGTCTGCACTTAACATTCGTCATCTGAACATTTTCACACTTTCAAGAAATATTATTGGAAAACTTTTTCTTCAATCGGGATGTAACGGAAATGCATACGTCTCTATCTTTTACAAGGTCTCTCGAGTGTCTCGCAAAATTGGATGGTAACGATAAATATATAGCGAGTGTGGGTATCGAGCTGAAAGCGCTAACACACAAATCCGTAGGAGGGCTAGAGTTTCCATGATATTTTTTTCTTTTTTCCTTTTTTTTTTCGTATGAGCCGTGCGATCCTTGTGGATCGTAGAAGAAAAAGGAATAGTCCGATGCATCAATGTCATCGCTAGCAACATTGTTCCCAAACGCAACGACTTGTCCCTAACGAGATATTTATGACGTCACGTTGCGGCTTAAATAATAACCAGTTGATGATGGATGGCCGCGGTATACGCGTAGAAAACCGACATCATTATTGCGGTTGGCATTTTGTAAGTTTCACGGCGTATTCCTCGATCGTACAATACGTCACCGCAGCGCGAGCGCGGTCTAGCCAGGGCCTAACAGATGTGTCTAATCTCTCTGTATTAGCGATAGCCTCGATCCCGTCGATTTCAATTCGTACCGACCCTTCTCCTCCTTATCTGTCAAGTAAGCCGTGCTCGATAGATTTTCTGAAAATCCTGGATGAATTAAAGTTTCCGAAAGCTCGAGATTTTCCTCATAAAGAGGGAAACGTTGAGAAAGGATAATGGAAAAAGATTTTTCAATAATTTTTCGATCATATTCCATCATAATACATATTTGTTGAATAAATTATCAAATTAAAAAAAATTAAAACAGAAAGCTATAATGCTTTCAATAATTTTTCAATAATTCATCGGACAAGGTAAAAGCTAAGTGTCGAATAATCTGGTTAGCGTATCAAACTGAAGAGAGAGGAAGTGACAGGCGGTAATTGTGAGGGAGCATATCCCCTCTACCTAGTCCTGCCTACCTTTGTACCAAGGATACAAACGGCATTCGTGCTGTGCTTTTTCACAGCCTCCATAGAAACGTATCCCCATAACAATAGGTTAAAGCGTCAAATTAGGCGGTACAGGTCAACTGCATGGGCGTCCCTGTTTAGTTCGTGACTTTCGTTCGGCGCACGCAGGCACGCATATAAGTTCAACTTGGAGTTAGGGTAGATGCTAGGATACTTTTTGGGGAGAGCCTAGGCTCCTTCTTTTCCCCTCTCAATGTCTCGCTAAAACTCACCTCTATAATACTATAATACAAATAAGTAGTCAGTCAGTCAGTTGGTGCCTTGCCACGTATAGCCGTCGGTCTATTATGGTTCTTGATCTCCGTCCATTATGCGTTCTCCCTTTCTTCCTCAATCGCTATGCTACACAATCATTCGAAGCAGTCTAGTTGGTTCTATCTATGGTAGCTCCATCTTTTTCTCTATAGGAAAGTCTTTCTATCTAGGACATTCCTCTTCTCCTTCTCTATTTTCTTCCTATATATCAAACCAACAGCTTACCCCTTGTCCTTTCACTTTTACTCTTGGTAAATTATTTTCCACTGCAAATTCAAAAAGTAGATAGCTATACCAGCGAAACGTTTTGAAATATGGGAATAAGCAACGATATCTCATACGGTGTTAAATATAGTTAAAAGATAATGGTGATAATTTCATTTGAACGTACAATATATTCCATTGTTGTTCCTTCGATATAATATCCTACCGTTCTTCTCCTTATAATCACAAGGTCATCTTCATATGCTCATTTAATGGAGCCGATACGATGTATTTTCTTTCCCTCCCCCCCTCTCTCTCTCTTTTTTTCTCTGCTTCGTTAGTGAGAAATCACCTCGGAATCATACACTCCGATGCACTCGAAATGCTCCCGCTGGAATTCGCCTCGGCCGACGGTGGCTTAATCGTGTGCGATTAATTCATTCGAGAAGCAAGGGGTGCACGCCATGACGAAGAGAATTACCGTTAAATAATTTTATTATAGGCAATCGACGAAAATATCAAGTGACTCCCTTGATGTTTATCATTAATATATTATGCAACTGTTATAACGTATACATCGACCGTACTATTAATATGTATATATATATATATATATATATATATATATATATATATATATATACATATATAATTTTATCAAGAGATTTAGTCTATGGCTATAAATATTACAATTGTAGAAATCCACACATTTTTTACTCAAAAATAGAGCAAGAAAAAGTTACTTTCTGATGTCATAATGGTTTTATGAATGCGATCCAACAGAAAACAGGATATAAAGTTTGTAATGGAGTCTCATTTCGTTGGTAGCTAGAAACCATATGTATATAACGAAAAGTTGGAATTACTTGTAGGAAGATATTGTGTTCGTTTCTTCGTTTGTGTATGTGTGCGTGCACCTTTATATTATAATATGAGTACGCGCATGTATTTAAGTACAAATATTTGATTTTTGAAGATTGTAGAACAGTTAGAAATTCGTTTGTAAGTTCATGAAAATCAGCGAGATCTCGATGGAAGATCGAAGATCGTTCGATTCTCAATGAAAGACACGTCGATGCTAGGTAACATCTTGGAGTATCTCGTAGGTGGGCAACAGCTAGGACGGACTTGGAAGGAAACACAGTCTATGCGGATTTTCCCCCATCTTCGCTGCTTTCACGGATACAGTTTACCCCTCTCGATACCCTTGTTTCGCTCTCGCCGATTTAATCCCGGATTCAGCACTCAATTTGGTGCGTTACACAGCGGTTTGTATGCCCTAGCTCGCCTTACTCAAGCCGGTACACCCTCTTCGTATTACTGTCTCTACTACCCGCCCATACTAGATCGCTTCATCTTGTTCCACCCTCCTTCCTTCCTACTTTCTCACTCTTTCTCTCTCTTTCTCTCTCTTTCTCTTTCTGTCTCTCTCTCTCTCTCTCTCTCTCTCTCTCTCTCTCTATCATTCTCTTTCTCTCGCTCTCTCTTTTACATACATTCTCTCCCAAACTCTCCTTTTATCCTTCTAGTATCCCCTTCTTCTTTTCCCTCTATCTCTTTTCCTTCCTTTCCACTTTTCCTTTCCCACCACTACAACCACCCTCTTCCTTCTCTTTTTCTCTTGAAACTCGTTGTTTCCACCACCGGCACTCTTCCGATCTTTCCACTGTCCGTCTCTCTTACACTCTGTTTCTCTCAACCCCACCAACCATCGGTCCCTTACGTTTTTCATCCACCCCTCGGTAACACCATGATACGAAATGCTATGTTTCAGGGTAGAAGTGTCTCTCGAATGTGAGACCAGTCTTGCACCCTCTTTTCTCTTTCTCTCTCTCTCTTTCTCTCTCCCTCTCTCTCTCTTTCTCTCTCCCTCTCTCTCTCTTTCTCTCTCTTTCTATCTATCTCTTTATCTCTCTCGTTCGCATTTAAATTAGATTAGATAAGTTAATCAATGCGGTATTCAAAGTAAAACCTGGGATTTTGTGTTTCGCACGCTGTAGAAAGAGGAATAAGAAGAAGGAGAAGGAAATTATTGGTAGTTTCAAGGAGAATGAAATCGTCCTCTAGAACGTGGCAAGAATTCGACGTATAGTTTGAGTTTGAAACTGATGTTGCTAGCACTCCTGATGCTGAAAGAGGTAAAGCTGACGTAGAATAGTAGTAGTGGTAATATCTACAATGGTAGATATGGAGGAGGAGGAAAAAGGGACGAGACTCTACGCGGTCTCGAGTTTAGGGGGCGGATCGTAGCCAATACACTTTTACTTTTTTTCAGCGTACATCGAAGCCCGATGGAAATCTCAGAGACGCGTTCGTCACGCGCCCACCGGTTATCAAAATTTATCGTAAACGTTTTGAATACCGATCCAAGCTTTCTCTACCCGCCTCCCCTTCCTTTCCCACTCATGGATTTATCGCGGCTCGTCGGCTTTACCGTCGATTCGATCTACCTACCGACTTTGAGATCACGAGCCCGATTCGAACGTATACTTTTACAAACTGTTACATTTCTGTACATCGTACATCGCTTGTACATCACTTGAAATTTGGACAAATTTCTATCTCTCTGGTGATTTAATTAAAAGGGAAAAATATATGGATATTTTTTCTTTTATTGTTTTTTTTTCTTTTTTTCTTTTTTTTTTTCTCTACAAGATCACATTTTTACGTTTGATATATTATTAATAGTAAACGTGTCTCTATTGTAAGTAGATTTGAAACAATTACTTTTTTGGAACATTCAAGTCAACGATCGTGTTCTTTAAAAAAAAATTCTATCGATAAGATCAGTGTAAATCAATATTGATAGAGATATACTGCTCGAGTATGAGTTAAAAGCCAAAGAGAATTGTAATAAGATTATTTCCGTGCTTTCCTAGAATGCATTTATCTTGAATATTCGTGGAGAATTAGGTAGATACGAGATGTCCGGAAGATATAATGCGCCTTTTACCGAACGCGCACGAGTAACACGACTTATAAAACGCTAACAAGGGAAGATCGGAGATGACCTCCCCGACGCTGTGTTCGCGGAAAGTTTGAGAGCTTTTAGTAGACATTCCCCGGGTGACTAAAAGGCAAACGGAGTTGGGGTGAGAGTGCCTGTATGTTAGGGCAAACGGCCAACCAACCGTTTCTCCGGCAAATGAATTTGATTTCTTCGGGAGCTCCCCATAAACTCTCTTCGCGCTCGAACTTGGCTCGTTATTATCTTTTTCCATTACATTATCCTTTGTTTTTCCGTTAACGTGAGCGAATATCTTCCGAAACGGGAGAAAGTTTGCCGTGTAGCAGATTCCAACGTTGCTTTTTGATCCATTTTACGCAACAGACAATAGTTCGCCAGGAAAATAATAGCGGTTATATAAAAAAAAAATTCGTCCTATCTTATATATCGAAGATATAAGTTTCAATGGAAATCAGTCGACGATTCAAGCTTTTTATATGTTTCAAAGATTGATAATAGAAATTTACTTTATACTTTAATACTTTTCCTTTCCTTTGAAATTTTTCACGAACTTCACATATTTTCTACTGGCAGACTATGAAGAAGTTCGTAGGCTCGAGCAACGTGCGATTGGCCAAACGACAAATTAATCGAAATCGAAGGTAACGTTGACTCTGACAAACGATCCACTTCTACGTTGAAAGGAGTTTCGGTGGTAGGCGAAGGACGATAACCAACCCTCTCTTTTCTCTCTGGTAGCTCGATCGATCTTGAGAAATGGAGAATTCGATTTGCAAATGTTTAAAGGGGCATACTTATATAAACGTGTGTACGTACAAGACGTCGTACGAATTTTCTTTTTGAGAAATGTTGCTGGCAGATTGCGTGAAGTTTATCCATTGCGGTACAAGACAAATCGACGTGGGAGGAGAGGGAGACCCTCTTAGGTACATCGGTGGCTGACAAACTGGCCAAAGCCCTTCTACGACCCTCTCGGTCGCCACATTATCGGACTCCTGTGGACAGCAAGGCCATTTATACTGTTGAAAGACCGAGAGAGATGGCGAATCGAAGACGGAGAGCGTGGAAACCGCACGAATGAAATGAAATTGTTTTCTCCGTCGTGCGTCGGTGTATAGGTAAACCCACCTTTCTTTCTCTTTCTCTTTATCTTTTCTCCGCGAGCACTTGTTTAATAGATAAGAAAAAAAAAAAAAGGAAACAGACCTCGGAATCGCCATTGTCTTGTCGTGAAAGAAAGAACAACGGTATATACGTGTAGTTCAGTACTTACATACGTGAATTTGCGTGAGCTTACTCGTTACGCGAAAAAAGAATATAATGTATAATATATTCATACATAAGTAGAATTAGTAAAATTCAACACATTATAATATTATAAACGCATGTTATTTAAAAATGAGATATTTAAAATAAAAACAAGAAACGTAAGATTATGAGACATTATAATTAAATATAAAATTATGAGATGTAAGAAATAAGAAGATTAATATGATCGTTCAAAAATTAAAAAATAACTCTTTTAATATCTATTCATGAAATAAGTTCTTAAAAGTTAATAACAAATTGGATTAATAATGAAAGAAGAGAGATAGAAATAGATAGATAGATAGAGAGAAAGAGAGAGAGAGAGAGAGAGAGAGAGAGAAAGTGGTTGTATGCTTTTATTCGGTCTAACGCACGATGGACCTCCCTTTCTGATAATTATGCTTTATCAACGGTCATTGAATTAATTCGTACGAATTTATGTGCCGTATAATCGAACATCGATTATGCGGTACGCCAGCTAATGTTAAAATCGATTATTCGATAATTAATAAATTGGAACGAGCCCGATTAGAGTCCTAGGACGGTTTTCATTAGTCGAAATTGTTTGTTGGAGAACTATTGGCTATATGTGTATGCAAAAGAGATTTTTATGTTTCATTTAATGGACATTTTTTGTTAGGTCGTTTGAATTTAGCCTCATTATCGTTATTATTAGAGATTCCCGCATGCAAATAGTCACAGGGCGAGCGAATGTCAATGTAGTCGGATTGGAGTGGACATTTCTCAAGATTTCTAATCAGGGATGACAGAGATGACGCGTCAAGATATTTTGATAAGAACATCTCAGTGCAACAGGTAAAGGTTGAATTTCACGATAGAAAGCGAGAGTACAATGTTTGTTTAATAAATTAGAGAACGAATAAAACGATTTGTTCTATTTTTTTGTTTTTATTATTTCTTTAAATATAATATAGAATCATTAAAATATTGTATTTATCTTAAAAGACGATCAAGTATATCTAATACGTGCGAGCAAAGATCACATTGTATATACTATTACTATTATATTGTATAGAGGGGGATTGGTCACTGTGAGGATTAGTACTTACGCGTGTAGGATCATGGAGTGTGTAGTATCATCCCTTACAGGATTGGTTCGTGTGTGGAATCAGTATGCGTAGGGCCATCGCGTGTAGGATGATTGCGTGGAGGATCGGTACACGTGTAGGATAAACGCGTGTACGACGGGATCCGTTAGGCGACGCCAGATCCCAGGATTTAGTTCATATAAAGGAGTATAAAGTTTCGATTAGCAGTAAACATGTAGGTATATACATGGAGTCGATGATTATGAAAATGGTCTAAGGAAACAAGTAAAAGAATTAAAATCAAACAAAAAAAAAAAAGAACAAACAGTGATTTTCTCTTTTCTAATATTTTTATATTAAAATAAATAATAGAAAAAAGAAATTCAATTCTTCCAAAATTTTAATTTAGGAAGAATATTCTTATACTCTATTCTTTTCTAATTTTTAAATATATACATACTCATACATATGTATCATATATATATGTATCTATATCAATGAAAATCTCTTTTGATTAAGATCGTCGATAATTCTTATACCTTCTTTCTAAATTACTTAGTCGATCGCGATTTGTATGAAACGAAACAATAGGAAAATATTCGTGAATGCTGGTAGAGACACGAAGGCGTCGCCTTGAGCCAGCAAACAATATGGCCGAGCGAAATGGAGTGGAATGTCTGGGTGCCGGATGGAGTGAGAGTACGGTCGGCGGTAGTTGGTGGGCTATAATAACGTATAAAGTAATTAAGGACATCGGGCGACAGCGGGAGAAGGGTGTACGGGACAAGAGGTGGAAGAGTGGAAGAGAGGAGAAGAGGAAGAGAGGGAGAAAGAGAGAGAGAGAAGAGGGAAAGAGGATGAACGAGAGAGAGGGATAGAGTGAAAGAGGATGGAGAGGGAAAACGGACAGGTTAGGGAATGCGACATTTACATAGTAATTAAATCGCGCGAGCAAGTGGGACCGTTGGGGGAGATACTGGTGCTCGAGCAATTACAGACGCATTAGATTGCGGTAAGCACTTGTTTATGGCCTACCCTGCGCCCGTTTTACTCTACTCGATTCTGCTCAGACGTGGCACACGTTTCTATTCTCTCTCTCTCTTTCTCTCTCTCTCTCTCTCTTTCTCTTTCTCTCTCTTTCTCTCTCTCTCTCTCTCTCTCTCTCTCTCTCTCTCTCTTTCTCTCTCTTTCTGTTTCTCTCCCTATGTCTTTCTCTTTCTCGTTCTCTCTCTCAAGTGCGAGTTCTGGCACCATGTTTTTTACAGCTCAAATACCCTACAAGTTACAACGTACTTGTTCTCCTACTGCGGTAACGCCATACTCCAAAAAGGATACGCGTAGAAGAGCAAGCTAGCGATTCGCGCGCTTACGAGGGACCACGGCAACGGATTATGACTTTGCCCGAGCAAGGTCCACGTCGTAATCGATACTATTTTCTTTGGATATAAAAAGTATTAGATTCTTGCTACCCACAATAGCTCTATACTATATATATATATATATGTAGGTATATAGATACGTGTAATTTGTTGCTAAGTATATCTTGTGGGAAAAGAGAAACGGGGGAAGAAAATAGGCTACAACTTTTAAGTTGTTTGATACAATCACTTTGAAAAGTCCAAAAGGAGGGCGAAGTACTAAAGGATTATTTAAAAGAGTCACGTGCACTTTTATTTGCGGGTATTAAAGTCACCCCATTCGAGCGTTGCCTTTCTCGAAACAAGATCTCCCGCGGAGACAAAGTAAATGCCGTCTCTCCCCCATCCACCTAAACACCGATCGTCGAACGAAGAGAAACCGGATTTGAATTATTGATGACGAGAAACCGACGTTATTATCAAAACGCTCTCGCTTTTCCCAGAGAAGAAGAGTAAGAAGAGGTGGGTCACTTATCAACCGATGACGTCAGCGTTAGATTGCCTAGTGCCTGGTTAAAATGTTAACTAAAGATATTAATAAATAGTGAAGTCGCAAATGGTGATCGCACTGAGAGCTCTTGTAGCCCCTCGTTAGATCAAGAGGGTCTACACTTGTTTCTCTCTCTCTCTCTCTCTCTCTCTCTCTCTCTGCGTATGTTTGTATACGTGTATACGTGAAACAAGGGGGTGTCGTGAGTTATGAGTGCTCTGTGATATCAATGCATCAATTTGACTAAACGAAGGATTAATTTAATAACAAGTCAGCAGATGAGTCGTCGGATGATGTATAGAGAAGGGAAAAGCAGTAAACGATGTTCGGGGATATAAAGCTACGTTGGTCTTTTGTAGCTTAGTATACCGTTCGACCCCGCGCAAACATACTCACTCGCTTTCTTGACAAAGAGATATGACGCCGATAGATGCTTCGGAAGAGCCACCATGCTAATCGCTTTAAGTAAATTTTCAGTTTCGGCTGGTTGCCAGTCTATTACTCGACCTATATGACTCTTCAACGGAAAATCATTTTTTTAGCTCTCCTAATTCTTCATTCTTAAAAAATATGCATTTATTCGTTCATAATATTCATTGGAAATATTAATTCAATTCATATAGAATAAAGTGTTATAGGATTTGCTTTTAAAATGCAGGTTTTCTTTTTTTTTTTGTCCATTTTTTTATTACGTTCTTTCTCTTTTTTTAAAGACCAGTATCATCACTCGAACCGACTCAACGTCGGTCGATGAATGGTAATAGCTTTTCGGGTATCTCGTAATATTAATGATTGTTTGGAACGTTTCTAATGATAGTAGAAATCGAATGCTCGTGGAAACTACTCTGATCGTTCATCTGTGAAGCCAACATCGGGGGAATGGAGTTGTGTGCGAGCGGTAGAGCGTAGCGGGGGTAGGTACGACGTACGGGGGTTGGATATCACTTTCATCGCGACGTAATGTTACTAAGCGACAACTTCTCTCGCACCCTCTATCTGTCATGCCAATTAACCAGCCCTCTCTGCCATCGTCTCTTACGGTATTCTCTCTCTCTCTTTCTCTCTCTCTTTCTCTCTTACTCTCCATCTCTCTCTTTCTCGTGCTCTCTCTTTTACTCTCTCTCTCTCTTTTTCGTAGTCTCTTTTACTCTCTCTCTCTCTCTCTTTCTCTCTCTCTCGTACTCTCTTTTACTCTCTCTATCTTTCTCTCTCTCTCTCTCTCTCTCTCTCTCTCTCTCTCTCTCTTTCTCTCGGCTAAGGAGTAGAATAGTGCGAGAGCAGATTTATGTGACCGTTTAGAATGATACATTTTTCACGATTACGATAATTTTCAGACTAGTGCCTTCGCGAGATTCAAATGAAGGCAATGATCGATGATTAACGAAAGAGATCGATTTATCGATGAATATATTTACCGTCTTAACGTAGACAGTAACGTTGATAATATCACTTGGTAAACCTGTTAGAAACTTCATCGGATGCGTTAGAGTAGGTGAAATGGGTAGTGAATATCCGTGATACTAAGACAATGATCGTAGAAGAAGGAAAAGCGAGAAAGTCAGCAATATCATAAAATAAGTTCGTGGCGTAGATGGCCACGTTGCGCTCCTCTAATGGACAATAACTGCGATATATTGTCTCGTTCGGACTACCCCAAACTACGTGACTTTTCTATATTTTTGTCATTTTCGAAATTTAAACGTAACTTCCGATTCTATCTTCGTTTGATTGAAACAAAGGAGGATCTGATGATGATATTGAAAATACTCGCAAATATCTTTTAGAAGTAATATTTTTTTTCTTTTGAAAAGTCATCGAAAAATACTTACCTATGTCTATCGAGAACATAGGAAGGTTATAAAAGTTACGTCATACATTTATTTCATTTCCAGAAGACCAATAAAAGTCCCAATAATAATTTCGGATGTTTTCCAATGCAACATGTTTGATTTAGTGTCGGACATTTTGTGATCGCATATCTGCCTCGTAAATCTCACCGCGGTGGCGCCACTGCATAAAAATATCAAACGTCGATGTGTCCGCGTTCAACCCCAATCCCGCGTAAAATATTGCTCGCGATTCCGTGCAACGGAAATAGCCTTTCATTCCCGTCGCCTGATAATTCCAGAATTTCGCAATTTATACTCCGGAAGGTTATAAAAGATATGCCCGATCGTGAGTTATTATTAATTGCCGTACGTAACGATAAAGTGAAACGTTTAATTTCGATAAAAAAAAAAAAAAGAAAAAAAGAAATAGGGAGAGAGTAACAAATAAAAAAAAAAAAAAACAAAAAAAAAGAGCACGAAAAATATTTCGAACATCGAGTAATATACATTGGGTATATACGCGGTGCAAGATCATACGAATAGATTTCGAAAACAAAAATGGTCAAATAAATTTACCTGTACGATTTCGAATGCAAAATTACGCGTTACCGTTTTCAGATTTCTTTCTCTCCTTTGCCCCACCCCTCTCTTTCTCTCTTCTTTTTTTTTCATTTTTCTCTTATTTTTTTTTTCATTTCTCTCTATAGAAAAAGAACAGTGAGATTTCGTTAGGGGGATCTTTCAAGAATAACAATATGGTGAGATGACGTATGTATATCGTTGATATCGTGATATCGGAAATGTTCATGAATGCGAAAGCAAGTTCGAAAGTATAAGATAGGAAGAAGGCAAAATGTAGAGTCTGCTGCATCGCGTAAAACATCGAGTTTATTACTAATAATGTAAAACGAGTGGAAGCTTCGCTATTTCAATTCCGGTTATAAAAGAAAAGAAGAGGGAAAAAAGAGAAAAGATGGGGCAAGGAGGATTATTGAATTGCACAAGACAACGAATGGAGAGAAAGAGAGAAAAAGAGAGAAAGAGCGAGAGACAGAGAGAGAGAAAGAGAGAGGGTAGGAAGGTGGAAGGGGGGAAAGTGAAAGAAAGAGAGCACGCGCTCCCATCGGAATATTAAAATAATCTACCATTACTTTAATAAATCTGTCCCTCCGTTTTGCCTTCTCCGTCGCGACTTTCTGGTCTCCTCTAGCGCGTTCCAGGCAGCAGTCACAGATGTGACTGTACCCCTAATGAGCGCGCTATTTTTCACGAGTATTTTTATCCCGTTTATTGGCTGCCCGCTTCACAAACTGTCGGCTGGATATTAATCATCCGACTCTTACAACTCTGCTTTTATTTCTTCCAAGAATGAAGAATAGAAAGAATGGGAGAAGAAATTCAGGGGACGAAAGCTCGAGCTCCTTCATTACTATTATTAAACTAGAGAACAGTTTCTTCTTACACACATTCAATAATTATGAAAATATTTCAATAATTTTGAACATTTTTTCCGATCAAAATTGTTTCATATTTTCACATTTTATCATGTATATGTAATTTATCTTATAAGAAAATGTTATGATTTTTATTGTTATCGTTCTATTAGTTACTAAATTTACAAAGAAAATTAACGCCGAGGTTTACTTTTTAATATAATATAATCTGTTTTTAAAATGAATAATGTATATTAAAGAGGAAATAAAATTCAAACTTTCATCCCCCTAAGAGATGGCAGCACTATATATTGCCACATGCTAATAACAAACCACTCGAGTAAATTCATATAGTTTGATAGTATTTGCATAGATGGCAGATAAACATGTTTACTGCCATTGTGGTTATTATTATTTTTTTTTTAATTTATCACTACCTTATCAAGCCAAGACAATGTTGTATGTTTGTATAAGATATAGAAATGATATTTTATTGTAAGTGTTTAAAAGAATTTCAGAGAAAGTTTAATCAAAAAGGAGAGTACGGAAAATAACGACACTAGCGAACCTATGAATTCGCGGATGTGCGATTGAAATCTTTAGTTTTCCATAGTAGTGATTTTTTCTGTATATTTGTAATATATCGTTTATAGATATTCAATATACCTACTTGATTGAAGACAAATAAATATTATCTTAATTATATTAACTTCGATAAATACATATGAATGCAACGTGTGTGCACCTGCATGCAAGTGCATGCGAAAAGATAAAACATACGTAAACTGATTGCTTTTATACTTATATATCGTATAGGAAATCTCTTTTATACGATGAAGAGAAAAATGTAATAAAGAGATTGTATAAATAACGTGTGATATCTATTCACAAATATTATTGATTTGCATTGTTTCCTTGAATTCAATTGTAATTTTGTTAGAAAGGTAATATAGGTTAGATTTTGGAGTCATGGCACAGTCGACAGCCAGTGGAACGTCATCTCGACGATACATGAGAGAACATGATGTTAATGTATCTTCTTCGTCACGTTATATGGATAGTGAATGGGAAACTAAAGAGGTAATATTACATATTTATTAATTATGATTTTTATTTATTATTTTATCTTCTTTAATAATTGTTATTAGCTATTGCATTATTAATATAAAGAATGGGAATTATTTTATATTAGAAATATTTTTTTATTCATCTTGTTAATATTAGGCCTTACGGCAGAGAGAATTGGAGGAAGCTAGGGCACGAGCTGCTCAAATGGAAAAAACTATGAGGTGGTGGTCAGATTGTACTGCTAATTGGCGTGAAAAGTGGAGCAAAGTTAGAAATGAAAGGAACATGGCAAGGGAAGAGGCCAAAGCACTTAGAGCAAAATTAGAAATTGCTATGAAAGATGCTAATACATATAAACATGAATCTCAAGAATTAGAAATGAAGAATGAACAGTTGAAAAATGAAATGGAGAAAATACATATGTTACTTTTGAAACATGCAGGACAGTTCAATCAACAAATATTCTCGGTGCTGGAGTCGGATTCACAATTGAGAAGTACGCTTGGAATTGACGAATTGTTAGATTTTTACAATAATGTAGAACAACAAGAAAAAGGAAGTCAAAAAGAAGCATTATCATGCCAACGGTCATTTGAAGAGTCAAATGTTAATGTTGGTAATCATACTGCTTTACCAGATAGAGACATTGAAGAATATGTACTTCAAGGTGCAGTTCCAAAACATGCAGTAGAATTGTACAAAGAAGGTTCCTTGAGTAAGTTAGACAGAGATATTGCACAATTAGTTGCAGAATCTTCAATAGAAAGTAAAGCAGAGAAACGGCAATCTTCTATAGAAATGTACAATGAAGAAATATTAGCACAGAAACTTTCTATGTTACAACTTAGATTGGATGAAGCTACCAAAACTATTTCTGCTGAAAGAGAGTAAGTCTTTATATAATTAATATCTTTTATCTAGAACATTACTTTTTCTTAATGCTAATGTTGTTTTTATAGAGAAAAGAATTCATTGCACAGAGGTATAGAGAAATTGAGAGCAGAAGTTACACAGTTACAAGAACAGTGTGTTGAACTTCAAGAAAGTAGAGCTGATGCTATGAGAGAGCTCTTGGAGTTAAAAGAACGATATCAAGATGAACTTAGTACTGCACACAATGATTTGGTTGTTGAAACTTTAAGTAAAGAAGGAATGGATCGTAGATTGTCTGAATTATGGACAGAATTAGGAAAATTACAAGCTGAAAATGCGGCAGAATGGGGTAAACGTGAACGCTTGGAGACTGAAAAAATTTCATTAGAGAGAGAAAATAAGCAATTACGTATTGAATTGCATGACTTACAAGAAAGATTAGAATCACGACGATCTCGTCCTCTTTCCACTATAGATACAGATGGAAAGCTGTTACAACAAGAGCTTTTAGATAGAAACAAGGTTTATATTTTATGGAAATTTATTTATGTTTTGTAAAAAATTAATTGTTTTACGTACTTTAATTTTTTTATCAGGAATTGTCAGATATAAAACATTCTCAAACAAAATTAAAAAAACTCTTGGGTGAAAAAACAACAGAATTATCACACGCGATACGAAGACTGGAACAATACGAAGGAGAGGTTAAAAGAGTGAGAGGAAGAGTAGATGAACTTAAAAAAGAATTATCTTTAGCTCAAGATGAATTAGATGCTTCAACCAATAGTGTACGTAAATTACAGCGGGTTAATGAAGATCTTTTAGAGCAACTACAGTCAGCAAATGTACAATTAGAACATTTTAAAAACAGGTAAATTTTAATTTTCTATATAATATAATTATATTTTCTAAACTAATCATATTCTGCTTCATTATTAGTTCTGAAACAAGTGGAGTGAACAGATCTGTGGAATCATTAGATAATAAATTACAAGATGATGAGGAATTATCTGATGGTATGCTTTCATCTGTCTATAATTTAGGTATAAGCTAATATGAAATTACTTTTTGAGACATTTATTGTTTTAGATTATGAAGCAAATCAAGCCTAATACATAATTGCTATGGTAAACATATTCATATTTCGTTTAGATAAGAAAATAGATGGAGTAAACAAATCGTTAGGAGGTAAAAATAATTTATATTTCTTATATTCCTATAATCTTAACACTCCACTGACAACATTCTTTCATTAGCGATTTTGTAAATGTGTATACATAGTAATCAGCAAAATAGGTATTTTGTCTTATTCCTGTAAATGTATTTTTAAAACACTATGCACTTATAAGATTTATTTATATGTTTAATTATTTTTGGTTTTTTTATTTCATATGTATGAAATTTCAATTTTTATTGTAAATAATCTTTACTTTTTATATATTTCTTCATTTTAATTTGTACATCTTTATTTAATGAAGATTTAGATTTTTAAAGTTTATATTTTTTATAATTTTTTGTATGTATGTACACACTGTATATATTATAAGAAAAAGTAATAACACACGCAATTGCAATTTTTTAAAAGACTTACGAAATGTACAAGTCATGATACCTGATTCGTATGGTTCAAATCCTTATGTCAATGTTGAAAATGTAAGTAGAATATGATAAAGCAATAATGCATTTACCTATGTGCCCGTGATTTTAGTGTTACAGTTATGAGATATATTATACTAATTGTAACTAGAGAACAAACATTTTTAGAAATAGTCAGAGTAAAAGTATTTTTAAATTATTGACTCATAAAAATTAGCTTATGATTGAATGAATAAAAACGAATAATACTCTTCTTTTATTCCGAATGTACTTTATTAGTAAATCGATGAATAACAGTTGGGCAGTAATACGATAACATGCATTAAAATATTTTCAAAGAGAAATATTGCTCATTTAGAAATATAATTGTAATAATATTCTAATAATAATCTCTCCTATGAAATTATGATGTTTATATAATAGTTACATATTTAAAAAACGATATATTTGTTTTCTTCAATTATACATATTTTTATGGCAGAAAGCAATCTATGAAAGAGATTACGTATATTAACTAAATGGACAATAAAAATTTTACTAATGAATATTATAAAATAATACAATATGTTTATATATATATATATAATAATATAATACACACAGTGTGATTAATTAACACTTCATTGGTGTACCATCGGGATATGTTGGTACTTTAGGTTTGCAAATTTTTGTTCTACCATTAGAACCGTATACGATATTGCAAGAAAATGTAAAATATCCGCACGTGGAACTTTTAGTATAATATCGATGTTCGTATTTTTTTTGAGAGCTTTTGTTATCATCTATTTTACCAGCGACACTATTTGTTACAGTATAGTAACTAGGTCTAATCGATTTATCTAAATCACGTGTAAGAAAACTATTAGATGACGATCGAGTAGGAGCGTTGAGGCGATCACCATTATTTTTAGAAATAGGAGTTCCTGTAAAGCGAGGATAATTGTTACGAAGCGATCGTGTTTCCGAAACAAGCGATTTGTTTTCAAGAGTATTATTTGGTTGCGCTGGAATTAGTGCAACAGTTTGCGATTGAGCTTTCCCATCGCCTTTAGCAACAGTATCATCACCGGCAATTGATAATACTCTTCCACGAAAACCAGGTGGAATGGTATAACCTGGTAAGGATTGACCTGGTTGTAATCTGTCACCTTCTTGTGCAGTATTTGAGTCCTGAGTAACTCGAACATCATATCGATTAGCATTGCCGATCTGTATCATTTGCGATTGATGTTGATCTTCTAGTTTTTTATTAGAAGAAAAAGTTTCTAAGTTGGGTGGAGGATTTTGTCTAACGGGCGAATCATAATCTTCGTCTTCATACTGATCTTCGTATTCTTCCTCCCCATAAACTGGTTCAGCTGCATGTTTGTTGTCCATAGATTGTTCTTTCCTATTCATTGAAGCTTCTGCTTTTTCTTTTGATATACCACTAACAACCGTTTGTCGAGAACTTGAGCTAGTCTGTAAACCATGCCGTTGTGCCTGAATACGACTAAAATCGGCATCACTCGAGACAGTTGTTACTTCCGTGGCGTCGTTTTTAGATAACGATGGTATATTACTTGGTTTATATGACCTATAAATTTCAGAATTAGTAAGATTGAAGTTAAATGGCTTTCTAGAAGCTGCTGCGCCAGATCCTGAGCCAGCCTGTGCAGCACCGGTATAAGTGATACCATATTGAAATGATCCCTGTAATTGAGATTGAGATTGACCTCTACGAGTTCCACTTTGAGCAGACGCCGCACCTCCACCACGGAAGGGAAGCGAATGTTTTTCAACTTTATTATCATTTTTTAAATATGGCTGAAAACCAATTTGTGCCTGGCTAGAAGTGCTACCTTCGCCATTAGCTTGTGCATCAGCCATTCCACCTTTGGAACTGGCTTGCACCTGAGAGGTTGTTCCATGATTCCAACCGCTACTTTGAGCTCCCGTTGAAGTATCACCAGAATCAGAATTTAATTGAACCTGAGCTTGACTCTTTCCACGACCAGCAACACCTTCTGCATTACTTACAGCACCATCTTTACCGCCACTTATTTCAGCTTGAGCACTTCTATTAATATCACGGGTACCAGCTTGCGCCGAAAATGATGCAGAACCACTGTAAATTCCAGACACTTGAGATTGTGCAGTACCCTGTCCGTATTTACCTTGGGCGGATGCACTTGCTTCTGTACCAGAATCAACTTGTTTTACGGAACTAGCTGCTTGGGTATCTGCACCATCATCTTCTGCACTTGTGAGCGAAATATCTTTAGGTTTTTGATAATATTGTGACGCCTCTACGGTACCGACACTTCCTGGATATTGACCTGGAATTATTTGACCGCCGATTCCACCTGGATAGTATTGATTAATAGTAGGATATTGAGGGATACTAGGAATATTTGTAATTTGACCAGAAGGTAGTATTCCGGAAGGAGGATACTGTACACCTCCTGTTCCTGTAGGTCCTGTTCCTGGTATGACACTTCCAGGATAAGTTCCAACGCCTCCTGGCAAAAATACACTAGAACCTGGATAACCTCCACCTGTAGTAGTCACTCCAGTAGCTCCGCTTCCTGGTAAAGGTGCTCCTGGATATGCGGTTCCTGGAGTTATAAATCTAGTCATACCTGGTTGTGCTACTCCACCTTGCGGAGTACTAATTCCTGGTATTCCAGATGGTATTCCAGGATACGATATAGAAGTACCGACGTCTGTTTTAGCAGATGTAACAATATTAGGAATAATTCCTGCACCAGAAACTCCTCTTCCATCCGTTGTGACAACTCTACCAGGATAAGCAGGACCTCCCGTAACAACAGTACTAGGAATTCCAACAGGATACATTCCACTACCACCAGTAGGAACTCCTTGACCACTAACACCCGTTGTGTCTACTCCAAGTGGAACTCCACCAGGATATGTTACCGTTCCACCTGTCCCAGTACCAGTTGGATAAGAAACTCCTGGAATTGAAGTTTCTGAAAAAAGTAATTAGCCATAAAACTAGATTTCTAACGTCATAAAGCTACATTTCTATCGTCACAGTTTATATACGATACCTGCTGGGTAACGTTCTCCAGGTCGACGTAGTGCTTCTGATGGAACACGTCCAGGTATTATAGTACCTCTTACAGGCTCTGAGTAAGTTCCACCATCTGTTGTTATGGTTCCTCGAATATCACCACTAGGATAAGTACTAACTCCAGTTGGTACAGTTCCCCGTCCAGTACCTCCAGGATACACTCCAACTCCAGTAGTTCCTGTTACGGGTCCAGCTGGATATGCTACACCACCTCTAACTGGCACAGTTCCCGGTACAATACCTCCAGGATATACTGCAGCTCCTCCTGTTGGTGTAGTTCCTGTTACTGTGCCACCAGGATATGCTACATCACCTCCAGTTGACACAGTTCCCGGTGCAGTGCTTCCAGGATACATTCCAGCTTCTCCTGTTATAGTTCCTGTTACAGGTCGACCTGGATATGCTATACCACCTCCAGTTGGCACACTTCCCGGTGCAGTACCTCCAGGATATACTCCAGCTCCAGTAGTTCTTGTTATGGTACCACCAGGATATACTACACCACCTCCAGTTGGCACAGTTCCGGGTGCAGTACCTCCAGGATATATTCCAACTCCAGTAGTTCCTGTTACGGGTCCACCTGGATAAGCTACACCACCTCCAGTTGGCACACTTCCCGGTGCAGCACCTCCAGGATATACTCCAGCTCCAGTAGTTCTTGATATGGTACCACCAGGATATACTACACCACCTCCAGTTGGCACAGTTCCGGGTGCAGTACCTCCAGGATATACTCCAGCTCCTTCTATTGCTTCTGTTCCTGTTACGGTGCCACCAGGATATACCACATCACCTCCAGCTTGCACAGTTCCAGGTGGAACACCGCCAGGGTACATTACACCAGTTCCCGGAACAGTACCACCAGGCCCACCACCTCCTGTTGTTCCTGGTATGATGCCTCCAGGATAAGTTGGAACACCTCCTGGCACAAATGCACCTGGATAAGCTCCACTTGGTACAACACCAGGATATTGTCCTGGTGTTACACTTCCCGGTCCAATTGGTCCAGTGGGATATGTTCCAGTTCCTGGTTGAATTCCTCCAGGATAAGTTTGCCAATCAGGGACAGTACTTTTCGGTACCGTAGATCCAGATATTGCTTTAGGATATTGCTCAGCCCCTTCTGTTGGTCTAGTGCCAGGTACCATACTTCCAGGATAATCTACCGCTATCATTCTTCCTGGAGTTCCACCAGTACCTGGTCCAGTAATATATTGTCCTTCCTTAGGCAATCCTTGAATCTGTAATTTACCTGGAATTTGGTCTACGTGAAGAGCATAATCAGGTTGATATCCTGGACAGTCTTCACAACCATTTCCACTTGAAGACATACTTTGTGCTTGGCCCATACCATGATTACCAGCTGAAATATTTAAATTTAATAAATTATAAGATATCCTAGAATATCAAGATATAATAGAAATTATCGATACATACCAACAACTGCTCGAGATGACTGCTGTGTTGCTTCCGCTTCGGCTTTGCCTTCTGTTTGTCCATCGTTACCAAGATTTAAATATTGCGATTGAGTTTGTCCTCGGAACCTTCCACGAAACTGTGACGTTTGACGACGTATTCGAATTTTCTCGAATTCTTCGTTCAATTTTTTTCGATTCTCTAATTGAATTTCTCTTTTAGCTCGACTGAGAAGCGGTATCAATACAACATCAGCAACTCTTTTCGATGAGATATCATTTTCATCAATTGGAATCTCGTTTAAGAACGGATCCAAATCATTTCCTACAATTGGTTTAGTTTCTTGAAGGAGATAAATATTACGACCTCGACAAAAATCTACGATTCGACCTCCTGCTTCACGCCATGCCTAATTTGAAAGAAATATGATCGAGATCATGAAAATTATTCTAAAAATTTGGTTATATATTTAAATAGACTTTTACCTCGAGCTTCGTTAATGTCTCATTTGGAACATAAAGGACTTTTGAATTTTGTTTTTCGCGATATTTTATTCGAACATCTTGATAATGTTTTACGTGATCCTCTTTCAATCTCTCCAGATAACAAGCATTTTCTTTTCTATCTTTATAAGCGATGAAAAACTGTTAACGATGAAAGAATGATCATTAATAGTCTATCATTATGGATACCTAGTACGGTAAATAGAGAGAGAGATTGAATTGTCAATTTACCGTTTGATCATCAGTGAAAGCCCATTCTTTGTTGATTGACTCATCTAACTTGTCATTAATCGAACGATCAAAACGAGTTTTCTTCTGTAAATAAAATAAAATATCGGATTTAACGTCGATTTCATCAAATTCATATACCACATTCAAGTTAGTCAAGATTTCGAGACTTTGATTTTCTCTTAAACTCGAGCTTTCACGATATCATATCGTATGTTTCTAACAATAATTTTTTATTGGAGGAAGAAAGTAGAGCTAAAAAAAGGCAGGATAGACAAATCGGGAGCAGGCCAAGTAATTTCATATCGGTTCCGTTTATCTCGTGAACTCTGATCTTCAAATCTCTTTTAGAAACATCTTCTAGTCACATGAATCAGAATATGATCCGTGCTACTAACCTGTTCTAATTCGACAGTATGATTATATTAAATTAATAAACAATTTAACAATCACGATACACGTTTGTCAATTAGAATAAAATAATTATTAATTATTATTTATTCATAATTTCTTTTTTCATTATCTTTTTCGATAGAAAGACAACAAAAGACATTCGTTCGAACAAAAAGCATGTTTAGAAATTATCTGAAATGATTTTCTGCACGTCTATTTAATTTCTAATGGAAAAAAAAAATAGTCTTCATAACTACGCAGAAAATTTATGTAAAAATATAACGTGAATTAATGCACTCTCAACAAGTTGAAATCCGATAAAACTTATCATACGAATAATTTCACATTTTCGCACATTTTACGGATAATTGCAGTTTCGCAGAACGTGCTTTTAAAATCCTTTTTAAAATAATTGTCTTGAGATTCTTTTTTGAAAAGAAATACGAAAGACAAGATAATAAAAATTTTATTAATAATAACGAACTTACAGAATAGTACGAAAATGCCGTATTTATGAAGCAGATCAGGATAAAGAGGATTGGCCGCATGGCTTGTGCCTCTTCGGGACGTTTCTACTATTAATTTCTACGTTGATCTTCGTTGCTGCCGAGTCGTCAACTCCCACTCTGTTCACTCCTTCTCTTCTTCTTATTCTTCTTCCACTTCCTCTTTACCGGTTCACTCATACTCGCACATTTCACGGTGGAACATCGATTTAAAGAGTTATTGCAAAAATTCGACGAAATAAAATAAAAGAAAATTTTCAAATGAACATTTTAAACGATGTTAGAAAAAGATTTATTACTTATTATCGGTCGACATCATTTAAATAACGTTGTCATTTTTTTTTCTTGCGAACTGATAGAAAGAATTCTAAGAAGAAGACATATTGTGAGTGTTGCGTTATCTCTACTCTCGCTCGACTTCATGCGGATCTTGTTACCTAAACTTATGATGTGAATATGTGTCTTTGCCGGCAACAACCAAGATATACTTTCGTGAAGTCCGATAAATATTGATACTACGAAATGTGTATTCACATAATTGAGATCTTGTATTTTCATAACTCAAACTTGTCTTTAATATATATATATAATATATATATATATTATACAAATGGAAGATAAGACCATCGTGTTTTTTATCTATGAAGTTAATTCGAATTTTGCATTAATAATTAAATTTACACACATATATATATATATATATATATATATATATATATTATATAAACGAAAGATTTGTTTTTTATCTATGCAATTATTTTTATATTAATTTTCTTTTCTATTTATATATAACATCTGATTACTAGATAAAATATATAATTCTTATAGAGAAAATTTAACTGTATCGATCACATTAATTTTCATTGACATGAATCGATCTCTTTGCATGACTGAATAAGAGATGCAAAGAAGACGTTGACATGGTCGTCATCGTCATCGTTATCGATCGAAATGATTTCTTCTTGGTATGTCCTAATTATTGACTTCAATTCATTTACTAAATACAGCAACTCTCTGTTTATTATAGTTCGAGGCATCACTAACGATCGTACGGTTCATCAATCCGATAATGGGACCAATGAATAAAAACAAAACGAATAACTGACATAGACTACTTCTCTTAATGGGAATTTACATCTTGTTCAATGATTTCATATTAGTTATTGAAGAAAAGGAAAATACAAAAAATATGTACACGATAATAGATATATATGTATATATTTATATATATATATATATTTCTTGTTGCGATGGACAAATAGTTTCACAATTCGTACAAAAAGTGAGTAAAATATTCACATAAGGCACTCCGATACTACAAATGGCACATACAATTATTTACAATAAACAGCGTATCAAACTGTCTTTAATAATATGACTACGCATCACGTTCATCTAATTTCTAAATACGACAAAATTGGGAATGCTATTTACAATGTTCGAGTAAAATGATTACTACGGTAATGTTAAAAGAAAGAAAGAAAGAGAAAGAAAAGATGTAAATACTCGAATTTGATCAGTAATTAGGATATTACATAATATCATTGATCCTTTTACTGATCTAACGAGATATAAAGCTATCTTACAATAATTTTGTTTTTGAGTAAATACTAATAATATTATATTCTTTCGTATATTAATAACCGTTGCCACTCGAGTTCTCGTGGTAACCACTTCACTCGTGGCAATTCCTACTTTATCGAGCTACGATAATGTTCATTTATATTTTTCAATATCTCATCGTTCGATGGAAAGTTAATTCTTAGAACAGAGAATGAACAAGACTCGCAAGAATAACATAACGAGTCGCTTCGATGCGAAGGGTTACGCGCTCGTTGTAGCAAAACGGACTCGACTAGTTCACACTCTGATCCTTACCGACAATCGGTAAAGGATAAAACACAAATGAAGAAAAATTCTTAATTATCATATATACTGCAACCTACATCGTACATACATACAACATATAAGATTTATCATTAAAATTTTTTCAATCACAGATAGAATACATTAGAGATATAAGTAATTTTACGATAATTAGTATCGTCTTAAATCCATTTAAACATTTTACGATTACTTTCACGATTTCTTATACGAACTTGACAAAGAAAATATTTTTTAAATTAATTATTTTAGTTGGACTAAATCTAAACCGAGAAATTTTTTACTCGAATTTATGAAATATTAAAATCGATCGTACTACCTTAATTAAACACAATTCGTAAATTCTACTGTACAGATCTAATATCACTATGATTTCGTTAATGTTCTTCGTGTAACTAGGTACGCTCGTATGATTATATACAATCCGCGAGGCACCTTTTTTAGCTGCCTTGAAGAGCACGTGAAGAGATTCTATTGTTGAATCTAATTATAAAATAATTATATCAATGTCACTGTAATTCAATTAAGATTTGTAATAAAAAGATGACGTCCCTTGTTTTGGAAAATTCGTCAAATAGCATAGAAATTTGGACGGTCATTCAGCCGTTGATAATGAAATATAATAAAATAAAAAAAAAGATGTCCTTATGTTACGATCAATCAAAAGAACCCTGGGAACGTCATTTTAAAGATATAATGCGTTTGATGTCTTAGAACGTTAATATTAATTACAACTATTCTCTACATGGTCCCTAATTAGGAAGATACTTTAGACAATACCCGTTCACGTAATGGACGTTGATCATTATTTAAATTCGGCACTTCGTCATCACGTGTCGGAAATCGACACACCTTTGGCATCGAAACAAAGTAAAATTGATCTCACCTCGATTACACAATTTCGTTCTATAAAAACAAAAGGAAATAAAATAGGAGACTAATAAAAAGAAACTAGTCGATAAGATCGAAATTTTTTTTCGTTGTTTCACGCGATCGCCAAATTGAGTGTCATCGTTGTGGGTCTCGAGAAAGCCGAAGTTCTCGTTGACTCGGAATAATCAAAGGTATTAGAAGGTTTTTTAGCTTCATTGAATCGACCCAAGTGTTCTGGATTGGGTGATATCACCGAGGTTCTAATGACCATGCTGGAAACGATCTCAGTGGTTTTAATCTCTTGCGACTTCCCATCAAGTTCTTTGAAAGGACGCTTAGCTGGTGGTGGAGTAACATTCTCGGTAGCACCAGTGTGTTTGATGATAGCTGAAAATGCTGATGGTGGACAGGTTTGATCATGTTGAAGACCTAAACGTGGAACGATCACGCTGGTTGGTGAAGCTGTCATACAGGAAGACGTTGTCGTTGTACTCGTCGTGGCCATTGCCGTCGTTGTCGTAGTCTGCAAGTCGTTCAAAGCATCCAAAGCCGTTGAGACAGGTTCGTTCGTTCTACCGGATGTTATCGATGAGTTAGACGTTGTCTTTCGTTCGCTCGATTCGTTCTTCTCCATGGAGGAGCGATGATGCGCTCGCATACAGGACGATTCCTCGTGTTTATAAAGATAAGACTTTAAAGCAAATGCCTTGCCACATCGAGCACACACGTGCGGTTTAGTGTTCGAATGTGTTTGGATATGTGCACGGAGATTCGACTTGTCGGCGAAAGCTTTGTTACAAATCGTACACTTGAACGGTTTCTCACCTGCAATCGAAAAAAAGAGAAGAGAGAAGAAAGATTTAGTTCGTTTCTCAATTATGTTCAATTTGAGTAATTTCATTGACCATGTCGTATTGTTGCTTACCTGTGTGCGTGCGTATATGTCCTTGAAGCAACCATGGCCTGGAAAAGCACTTGCCACAATAGTGACACTTGCAGCCCTGATTATGAGTCCTAACGTGCATACTGAAGGCAGGCATGCTTACATAAACCTTGTCACAATGTGGACACCTCCTGGCCTTCTTATCACCGAGCGATCTATGTGTTTGCCTATGTCTGGCCAGATTGGAGGACGTAGAATATTTTTTTCCACAATCGGGACATTCGTGATCCTCGTTGTCCTCGCTTTTTGTATTTTCTAAATTACTCTGAATAGTTCTACGAGCTTGTTGAGCGGTAGGATTTGGTGGTTCGCTGACATTAGTTGCCTTTGGAGGTGGTTCAATTTTGTTTTCCGTCACGAAGGGAGTTTCTTCTCGGGGATGATTTGTCTGATGATGATGATGATTTCTGTGATGATGACGATGATGTGGAGGTGATAATCTTTTAATCCCAAGCATCTCTCGTTCATTTTCGATACTCTCGAAGAAGAATCTCGTCCTTTCCAAACTTTGTTCTTCTTCATAGGTATTTCGCCGTTCCTGAAGACGTTGCTGTTGGTGAAGATGATGATGATGATGATGATGATGATCCTTCGTTCTGGGCACAACTGCTCTGCTACATTTTTCCGTAGGATCGGTACATCTCGGTGAACTTGATCGTTGATAGATCAAATTGTTAGGATGAATTAAGGTACCGGCTGCTGCAGCAAGGCTTACTTCCGCAAGTTTCGTAAGATTGTACAATTCTTCCGGACATTCCGAGGAGGTCTCGCTGCCGCATTCGCTAGCACCATCGGAAGTAGGCTGAGCACTACCATATTCGGCTAGCCTAACACCTCGTTCAGGACTTTGACCTGTATATAAAAAAGAATAATTTTTTTTTTTTTCTTTATCTTCTCAATATTTTAAGATTATCAAGTTCATGCCTCATGCGTTCAATGTACTCGAACATATCGACGGCTTCGCGTCGAAACGTTGAAAGCTCGAGTGTTAACAATACCAAGTTAGTCTGGCAAACTTCCAATAAGCCTCGAACTCGCATAAATTCCTATCGACATCTCGAAGTTTTCCTGCCTGCTCTTTTTAACATCACTTAGTACAAAATGGAAGCATCTTAAAAACCTTTTTGACATGAGATAGACGAATCTCGATAATGATAGATTACTTATGTTACTCCTCTTTTGAAAATAGAAATACATCTCTTAATTTATCGATAGTTAAACTCAACAGGTGGTTCTTTCGTGGCCGAATAAGCTTGAATTAGCTCATGAAGTAAATACCTTCAGTTAGTTTATTTTAAACGGAAAAAGTGAAAGAAGGAAGAAGATTCTATACGGCTAATTATTTTTTTCATTCTCCCATTTTCTCACTTTACTTCGCGAGAAACTTCGCTGTTACTATTTGATGAGTTTTATCGCTTCCGGAATAAACAGGGGTTTTTCCACGATTTATATCAACCAAATGGATTCGGTTATGAGCAGTAAATCCGAGCAGTAAATTCGGGATGATTCGTGAAACACGCAGGCACTTTCGAGAGTTCGCTCGCAGCTCCGTTTTTGGGGAGAACGGAAATAGCGTGCTTCATTCTCTCTCTCTTTCTCTCTTTCTCTTTTTCTCTCTTTCTCTCTCTCTTCTTTCTCGCTCATTCCGCGTATTTTCGAGCGCGTGTGCGTGTTGCGCTTGTAAAGAGGGTTTGGAGGGGTTGACGGCATCGCGACGGTATGCGTCGTGCGAGTTTCGTGACGCACCTAGTATCTCCTATTCCTAAATCTCTAAAAAATTTACCGTTCAATCGTTGTTAACTAAATCTTATTCTCTTGTATCTTTCCTAACGATTTAAACGAAAGCTTTAATTTATTAAAACTTAAATATAGGATTGATCTTGAAAAAAATAACCTGTTTATTATTATATAAATTTCTTATTATTTAGCTATATAGAGATCATATCAATCCCTTTCAGCGTTCATTATCAAATAAATATGAAAAATCATTGATGTTAATCAATGTAACGTTTTAACGTCCAACTATCAACCCTCGACATTTAAAAACGAATCTAAGTCATTCGCGAATTATCACGAACTTCGAATATCGATTGCAACATATTATTCACAACGTCTTGACGATTTAAGAAACTATAAAAAGATTCGCACCTCCAGCGGAAGTATCAAACTCCTCCTCGACGCCATTGTATCGGCGATGAGTGATCAGGAAAGCCCTCGGCATTTTCTCCTCCGTGCTATCTTCCTACCTCTTCTTTTCCTCTTATTATTCTTTGTTCTTCTTCGTCTTCCCTCTTTTCCTCACCACTTGATCTTTCCTCAAAGAATCACACAAACCATGGCATTCTAACTTCGAACGAAGTCTCACATTGAACCAACACACGCGATTTGGTGTCCTCGAATATTTAAAAGAAAAAAAGAAAAAAAAAGAAAAAAAAAGGAAAAAGGAAAATAAAAAGGAAAAGGGAAAAACGAAAGAAAAGATGGGAAATGGGGAAAGTAATAAAAAGGTAAATCGAAATAAACGAGTCTCGTGTGCGACACGAAACCCTCGCGTTTTTTACGGGCCAGGGGTGCGTACGCCTCGGCAATTTCGGGCGCAATAGTTCCTCTGGCTAAGATTCGGAGCTACATATAGGAGCGCAGCCTCCCTCGCTCTTCTCTTCCCTTCCTCATCTACCTCTTTGCCTTCTTCTTCTACTACTACCAGCACCACTTCTTCATCTTCTTCTTCTTCTTCTTCTTCTTCTTCTTCGTCTTCGTCTTCGTCTTCGTCTTCTTCTTCTTCTTCTTCTACTTCTTCTGGTTCAGCTGGCAAGTTGCACGCGTTCCCTCCTTCGCTCACGAATCTGTGTGTAGGTATGTGTTAGTTTCTATGTATTACGTGTTAAATAGTGTGCGTTCACGCGTACGGGAATCTCATCGCTTCGAGTGCGGATAATAAACTCTCGCGCGTGCACGTACCTACCGAGAGCTCGGAATATAGAATGGACCGAAGAAGCTGAGAAGCTTCTCTTCTACCACCGTCTACGAACCACCCTTATCGTTAACCGTTTTATTCACGTAGGCGATCACTTTTTTTCTCCAATGCCTATTATTATTGCCGGAATGACCGAAGGTATTATTCATGCAAGATCGTCCAACCTCATGGAATATTGTCCTTATCCTTTTTTTTCCCTCTCTCTTTTTACATTTCTTTTTTTTTCGTCTCCTTTTTTCCCTTTTTTTTTTTGTATCTTTGTTCCGGTGGACGTTCGAGTCATTAAATAGAAGCGAGAGATAGTTAATAGCACGCGTGGGACGGATAAAAATATCGAGGATCGCTCGTTAATGGAAATATGTATTAAAAAAAAAAGGAAAAAATTAAGATCAAATTTTCCTTAAAAATATAAGAATGTGTCATTAGGTACGTATTCGAAAAACGAAGCTAAAAATGTTTTTAGCTTGAATTGATTCATTTTTTTTTGACTATGATTTAGTCTTTATCTTTTTTTTTTTTTTAAATAATTCAGATGAAATTGTCAAATTATCTTTTGTTCTCCTTCGTGCTTATGATCCATCATATATAATTATACCACAATTTCTATACAAGAGTCTTCGATTATTTTACGAGGCGAAAGAATACATACTATATTTTTCATGAAATTTACGTTGATACGTATAAGTACAGCGTGATTCCTGTTAGCACGGATCAATGCATTGCATGGAAACTTGAGAAGGTCGAAGGGTATTCCTTAGAGATCGATATCTCTTCTATGAAGTTATACTATCGTTGTTCTCGGTCATTGAAATAGTTCATTATAAAAAAAAAAAAAGTATTAACAGTTCAAAATCAACGAGAAGATAAGAGAGAAAGACGATTTTAAAATTTCGTTATCTCGAGTAACACGAAGGTCGGCAAGAAAAGGGAGAAAAGGGCCCTTCGACGTTGAATCGACGGCACGCGCTCACACTCATTAACTGTAACGGACCCAACGTAGAAATAGAAAAAACAAGAAATTTTTTCCCTTCCTTCGGCTTTTTTAACATCGAAAATTAAAAGAAAAAGAAAAAGAAGGAGAGAGAGAGAGAGAGAGAGAAAGAGAGAGAGAGGAAGAGAAAGAAAGAGAGATAGTATAACTCGAAAGCAAAAAGTAATGCAAAGCTGGTAGGACGTGATTCATCGAGAAACACACACGGGCTTTTTGCTGAAGAGAAGAGACGAGTGATACTTCCAGGAGAGGTACGGTCATCGGAGTTGCAAATGTCTCCTCTAATTCCAGGAAACATGTACGTCCGGACCAGAATACAGGGTTGAAATTTGATCCTTCTGCGTTATACGATTTATTTACAATATTTAATGATAACAAATGATAACAAAAAAAAAAGATCATTAAAGACAAATAAAATTGTATTTATTCGAAAACGTTGTACAAAATGATTTCGATAAAGAGAATAAAAAAAACAATTCGTTGAGACAAATTTGGACATTTGGACATTTTATCAAGAAAATGTAACAACGTGTTGCTCTTAGTTTTATGATCGAAAGAGCGAGATAAAAAGATAGATCTCGCGCTTGTCTGGCACACCGATCGTGCTTCCGTTCAAAATAGAACTTCTCTCTCTCTCTCTCTCTCTCTCTCTCTCTCTCTCTCTCTCGCTCAATCTCGTTGTGCGTCAAGTGATAGCGAGCAATGCTTTGGCAAAATGCTGTATTTTCAACGCCACCGACATGCGCCACCACACTTCATCATGTTAAATCGAGCAGTTAACATTTAAAAAAATATCCGTACGGTGAATCGAACGTGAGCTATCAATGTATGTTTGAAGAAAACTAATCCGTATACTCCATTTTCTTTTTTGTAATTTTAACAAAATACATTTTCACGAGACGTTAGTTTGTTTTTTTGCACGTTAGAATTCGGCTTAAGTCGACTCGAGGCAGCTTGGGAGGTAATAAATAAAGCCTAACGTGCAACGTTGAAGATAGAGAGAGAAAGAGAGAGATAGAGAAAGAGAAGAAAAATGCTGTTAAGCGCCATTTTGGATAACCATCGAAAGCCGGAGATTCGAGTGTAACGAACGACAATGTAAATGTTTTCGCGATACAACGGCCGGCTCGTAGTTCTCGAAAGAATGGAGTATGCAAGGAAGGCATCAGGGGGGCTTTTTAGTCGACTATTGAATGAATGCCACGCGAGTTAGTCAGCGTCGCGGTGCTAAATTCGGCGGACGCCTGGCGTCGCGCCAGAAGAACCACCCAGCGCACCAACCTGCTTCTCTATCCTCCATAGCCACCAACGACACGACGAAGAGGACGTAGCCGTTATATCCGTCTACCACCTTCTTCTCGCGGATAGAAACGACGTTCCTTGCTACGCCTTTCTCGCCAGTCGGACTTAGTTAAAGAGCAATCGACATTCCTTCTTTCATTTTTCTTTTTTTAAAAAGACGATTTGGTCGATAAAATTGTTTCGTTTCATTACAAACAACTCTAAATGTTTCATACACATATATTTGTATATATATATATATATATATATATATATATATATATATATATATATATATATATATATACGTACATTATAGTGTACGTATGAATAAATGATTATGAAAATAGTCTAAGTTATATATTTATCGTTTTAAAATATAGTAGATACGTCTTTTCTTTTTTTATATTATATAGTATAAATAAAATTAAATTCTTAGAAAGTTTTGTTCCTTTTTAAATAATGATAATATTTTTCGTTCATTTACGTATGTTTATCTTTGCAGATTCCTCATTTATTATTTCGAACGATCGTATCATTGACGAGTGAACAGGTGTCCAAGTAGGATCGACATCGTGATCGAGCACGCGTATCGACGCGTTCGCGCTCGAAAATAAAGTCACGAGTCTCTTCTCTACTCTTCTCGTTGACGCAATTCCGAGTCTCTGCCAGGACGGATGCATGAGTGTGTATCGTCATCGTTCGCGCGTGTTTATTATTCGTGTACGCGGCGTGATAAGTTTGCATCGCGGTTAACCACGCTCGAGCCTTTTTCTTCCACCTCTCTACGAACCTCTTTTTCTTTTACCTCTTACTCTTCTTCTCCTTCTTCTTCGCCTTCTTCTACAATGTTTTTCTTCTGGCGAACGACGAGCATCCTACAGGTGCCCGAAGGTGTTCTCGCGGTGGGACGCCAAGCGTAAAGTATTTTCGGCAAATCTTGGAGAGGCTCCAGGTGTGGAGGAGGAAGTTAAGAAGAGAGATAGAATAATCTTACGGATTGACCACGTGCGTAACAACAAAGAGCATGAGGTTAGATTAGAAACAAAGTCTTACAAAAACTGATTTTAGACAAATTATATTTCTACTTTTACATTTTTTAGAAATTATCGAGTAATCTATTAAATATATATATATATATATATATATATATATATATATATATATATGATTGTAAGGAAAAATGTCTTATTACACATCTTTTCACTTTCGAAATATTATCGTTTAACAATCTTTCCTTTTTTTCTGTTTATGCTGCATATATAAATTTTTTTCTGATACATACATAAATCCTATATTTTCTACAGCACAATTAGTACATATCGTAATCGAATTTTTAGATATGATATCAGGCTTTTTTCCTTATAGTCACAGATATGGAAATAAAGATAATTAATTTCGACTTATAAGAAAATTTTAAATATTAACGTATATGTACGTGCGTGTATATGTGTGTGTATTAGTAATAAAAAGGAAAATACATGTTTTATTTTAACGAGATACGACGAAATAAAATAAAAAGTTACAATTATTTAAGAGTGAGAGAGAGAAAGAGAGAGAGAGAGAGAGCGAGAGAGAGAGAGAGAGAGACTGAGTTGGTAATTCTCGTATCCACGCGTTATAAATGCTATAAATAAAATTAAGTAAAGCCGGAAGGCACGAGCTCGTCTAAGTACTTCAGCTCTCAAAGAAAGCCGCAGAAGAAGAGGAGAAAAAAGGAGAGAAAAAGAGAGAGAGAGAGAGATTAGGTACGAAGAAATAGTTCTTAGGGAAAATATTAGGTTGAGAGAAGTTTAATTTTTTGTTAACCGAACGACGAAGGACAAGTCATTAAGAATGATCCTCCTAGAATGAAGGACGAATTTGGGGACAGGGAGAACGAGTAATGTCTAAAGCATTACATAGTGTACGTAAACAATCCGGAAACGCCTGCTTCCCTCCTATGATAAATCAACACTCGTCGTATGAGAGCTTAAAGATTACTCCCTTTTTCGACGAACGTGTCAACCACCACCATCACTATCATCTCTAGCTTTTGAACTCTCCTTCTGTTCCTCAACGAGAGAAGTGGAAAAAGCACGCGATTGCTGTTTAAAAGGTTCGTGGGTGGGTCGCTTTTCAAACGGGAGAAATCAAGAAAGAAAGATCGTAAAGAGAAAAAGAGAAAGAGAGAGAAAGACAGACAGACATACAGAAAGAAAGAAAGAGAGAGAGAGAGAGAGAAAGAGAAAGAGAGAGAATGAGA